TGAACCTTGTGGTTGTGTTCTTTATCCTTAAAACTTGATTAAACAATTGTCTCATAATCAATCAACATGAGGATATATGTGTATATGTGTGTGTGTGTGTGTGTGTTTTCTCTCTTCGGAGATAGGGCAACCTAAGGTTTCCTCTAGGGCTAGGGCGGTGGTTGTGTCATCATACATCCATGCCAACTAGTCGTTAATCCTATGTCGACCATAGGGAGTGGAAAGACAATCTTTGGAAATAAATCATAAGATCACGGCGACAAAAGAGTGCTAGCAAGATAACAAAGGTTACATCTTCTCTTAGGGTTCTTTCGACCTTTTTGACAAAAGAGAATCATACACGGATGCCTATAGTGGGGGAATCATTTGAATATCACGGGATCAATAATCCAATATACGACGGATGATACGGTCTCTTCCGGGGTTTTCATGCTCCCTTGACAAAACGAACCCTAAACCAAACGGACACAAAATCAAACATAAGGGCGGGAATATCTAGCAACCAAGAAAGGGTGATCATATGTAGTAATGGTTGTAATGCTCGCTAGGATTTACATAGATTCTTGATATGCTTGTAAATCAAGAACAAATCATAAGGGTAAAAAAGGCGATGCTTGTTATTGAGGATGAACCATTAGTGCTATTTTCACCGATAATGCTTGGAAGTTGCGATAAACTAATTTCACCATACTATAATATTGAAGTTTTATGGACATTGGCTATCAATTCAGGATATCAAGACATATATTCTACGGTTTTAGAAGCTTTCATCCGATACCGATTATTGGGCTATTGGATCAAATGATCTGTAAAGGTTCATTTGAAATCAAAATCAATATGAATGCGGTATTGACAGAAGAAGAAAATGTGATAAAATAGTGTTTGTAAAAAAAAATTCATCGGACGAGCATAGCTAAGTCTTCGATGAGATGTTTTTTTCGTCGGACAACATAACTTAGTCTTCGATGAGGTAGTACAAAGGTACCGACTTGGGTAAGGTTTCCTTATTTGCCTTTACTATTTTATAACCATTCATACTTAAAATGCATTGGGGAGACATTGGGTAAGTTCTTTTATATGGATGAGAGGACACTAGCTCTTACTCACCTAATGTATGCAAGGATGTGTGTTGAAGTTGATGTCTATTGAATTCTCCCATCGAAGTGTGGATTAATACGTTAGAAGAAGATGGATTTTGGCAACGGAGTTGAATACGAGGGCAATCTAATATTTTATGTGGAATGTGGTTTGATCAAATACATTGAGAAGAATTGCCAAAAACACCAACACATTGCTTCAAAACTATGAAAGCCGATGAAAAGAACCATAACCGACAAGAAGGATGCAACAACAAAGGAAAAAACCCCAAGACTTATTCAATAGTAATTCTCAAATAGGGCGACTACTAAAAACAAGATGAAATGGGATAGTGGCAAACATAAATACAAAAAATGTTAAAGTAAGGGGAAGATTAATAGGATTTTTAGGATGCCACAACGTCATGAAGAACTACGGCTAGTAATGTTTTTGTTGTTTTAGAAACCGAAACAAAAGGTGGTCTTCTTTAAAAAGAAATGCAAGAGGAGTAGGTTGTTGAGAATTCTATGGGGCAAGACGTCCGAACGAGTGCAATGAGGGACCACGATTGAGGGGGGATGTGGTGCTTGTTAGGAATGGTAAACAACAAACAATTGATAGCATAGTTTAGAACGCGTCTTGCACGAAGAAGAATGTGGAGCGATGACTATCAAATTCACCAAATTTACTCTTACTAATTTTTATAATAATGACAAGTCCATGTCGAACTCTAGTCAAGGTAGAATAAAATAGAAAAAACTTCAATTAAAGGAAAAACTACACATTCAACTCACAAATTGATTATAAATGCCTAAATTACTATTGTCTCATCGAATAATTAACCTAAATTTTTTTAGACACTAGAATAAATTTAAATCTTTCTTACATTCATTAATTCAATGCCTAGCACCTAGATTAAATATTTATTATCAATTGATTTTGGTATTACGCAATCCTAGTCAAATTAATAATAGTTTTAAGAATTAGAGAGAAGCTAAAATTAAATAATAATTTGAAGACATTTAAATTATTTAATTCATTCTTTGTTTCCACTTAGGTAGTCCTAAAAATGAGGATCATAATTATGAAAATTTAATTCGCTACTTATACTAACTTTTCATAATAATTATGGATTAAGAAAGTTAGTTAGTTATCAACTATAACGAGATAATCAACTAATGAGCTTCTTAGACAATTATATTTTCAATCATAATTAATTAAATTTAGAGATCAATTAATTAAACTAAGAGAAAAAATAGATACTTGAATTATAAAGAATAATTTAAAGATTAAACTCATGTCTCACGTACTTGTGTGAATTGAAGTTGAATTTCTTGAACTAAATTAAGACAATTCACCAAAGATAAATATAGGAAAGAATGTGTTACCTTTTTTGAGTAACCCTAGAGGCTATTTATTCATGTAAAGAGATAAATACGGCGACTCACAAAACCTATCTCTTAGGCTTATTCCTAAAATTAATTAGGACTTGTTGCTTAATGAGACTTCGAGTTTTGTATTGGAATTTCAAAAATTATTTTGGATCATATGAAAGCTAAATTTGGACTTGGGCTTTTACGAAAGTTGTAAGGCTAGATGTATTTTTTCCGTAGGCTTTTAAATCGTCTCAATTCAAAATTTAGAACTTCGGATATTGTCTAAACACCAATTAGTATTCTAAATTGTCATAGGATCTAAACTCCTGGCCTAACTTTAAAACTAACTTTGATGACCCAAAACAAATTGGATTTTTACATTTAAGTCCAATTTGGAAAAATTTAAGATGTCCACTTCAAAGCTCAAGAAGGCCTCTTCCACGTACTTGGAGATCCAAGGATATAGAATTTCTATATCTTTCTCTAAAGGTCAATATGCTAGTATTGGAATTCCAACTAAATTAGCACACTTTTGCTCCTTCTGCCTCCAATCTTCTCTTATGTCACAAAATAAATATTATTTAGCCATATAATCTGAATTAAAAAGACTAAAGATAATTAATATAATCAATAATATTCACTATCAAATTTTCTCACACTTAGCCTTTGCAAGTCCTCGAACAAAACACAAGACTTATCCCAATACTAACTCTTCAATGATACCAAAATTCTAAAGTCATAAGAAAAAAAACCACCAAAACTCTCAAGAATCATAACATATCATGAATTAGTATTCTTAACAAACTAAAAAAAAATCAATACAACAACTTTTATTCAAAAAGGAATAAACTAACTTGGTAAACCGAAAACGTACTATCATCGACTTACTTATCATTTAATCTCCACTACTTAGATCACATGTATAACAAAAATCAAAAAAACTTTTCCAAGAGTTATAATAGAACTAGGTAAGAAAAGGTAAGTAACTATATCAATTTGAGAGTACAAAACCGGAAAAAAAATTAATAGAGTATTCAAAACATAAACTCGATAAATAAAACTATTAGGATCCCAAACCTAACATCTTAAATTTAAACACTTAATCAACTTTCTATTGTATTTTTTTTCCTTTCTTTTTTTTTCTTCTTTTCTTTTCTTTTTCTTTCAAAGTACATAGACAACAAACTGTGACAAAAAAAAATTCTATCACAAAGCGTGTGGCAAAATCCGTGCTAATTTCAACGACGAAATTGTGATAGATTAGTAAGGAAATTTAGCGATGGAAATGGTATTCCTTCGCTAAAAACCATCATTTGATCAATAACGAATATAATTCGTCAGCTATTAGTTATTCATCACTAATTAACATATATGCATTTCATCGCTAATTAAAATTCAAATTAGCAATGGACACTTATGTCCATCGTTAATTAGCGACGGATTAACGATAGAATCACATTCGTCGATAATCTTTAATCCCTAAAACCTACCGACCCTTTTCTTTCCCCTTAATTTTCCCCCTTTCCCTCTCCCGTCGTCGCCCCTACTGGACCTAACCACCACCCCATGCCACCCCACTTCCTCTCCAACCCACTCATTCCAACGAGACGTCCCTCTCTCCCTAAAAACCACGTTAAAACTACTGTGCAGTCTCTCTTCTCCCTCCTCTCCTTTGGTTAGTTCTCTCTCTTTTATTTTTTTAATTAGATTAATTTTGTTAATTAAAAGATTGTTTCTATTACTTGTTAGGTTAATTTTATTAGTTGTTAGGTTAATTTTATTAATTGTTAGTGTTAGGTTAAATTTTATGTAATTATTAGGGTAATTTAGATAAATTAGTTGATTACTTTGTTAGATTAATTTTGATTAATTGTTAAGTTAAAATTTAATTAATTAATTTTTAATTAGTTACCGATTGATGTTAATTTGGGTTAATAATTGAGGATGCTTAGGATAATTAACCTTTTATTTTTACTTGAATTTGGTGTTAATTTATATTTTGATGTTTTGTTTGTATTTGATTGTTACAAGAAAAGAAACGTTTCATTGCAGTGGATGGTGATAGTGATAATAATTTTTTTAATATTGTTTTGATTTTTCCAACTACGTATATGCATTTTATTAATTTTACAATTTATTAATTTATGATTTTAATTTGATTATGAAAAAAATAGTAAAAATATTTGTATTTTTTAAAAAACCATCGCATTCACTTATAGGTAAATGAGAACAAAATAGTTTTATGATTTTTTACGATCATGTCGATGCCAAGTCATTATCCATGATCTTCAATTTTTGTTAATCTATTTCATAAAAGAAAATAGATCTTTCTCAAATTTCTATAAAGTTCTTAAATTGCTACGTACCTCTCTAGGTTGGATGGGGAGTGGGGATTGGGAGTGGGGACAAGGCTATCACATTCACATAAAATATAACACGGTGGCCTCTTAACTCATTTCATATTGTTTTAAATAAATTGAAAATTAAAATTCATGAACAATAATACCGGGCCTTCTAACCCATCTAGCTAGCTCAATTATGTGCTAATCAAGACTTGAAATCTCGGGTCTCAGGCTGGCCTTCCATCATGGACCTTTTATTTCTCAGCATTGTTGGGACATGGGATGTGTAAAAATAATGAATTTGGGTTCCATCATGGACCCAATTAACAACACCAAGTCTATTTGGAAATAATGTGTTGCCTATATAAGTGAGTCTCTTGTCAAGGAAAATAAATTTCAATCACAGACTTTGCTGAATATAAATACAAAAACTCTAGTTTTGTTTTTTTTTTTTAATGAAAATCCTATGTGATTTGTGTAAACCTATTAAAGATATATTAGGGCCAACAATTTGAACGAATTGAAAATTTATCGGGGCCTACAGTTTGAATCGGATGAAGTAACGGTTGCAAGCATTCTTCCAGCTATTGCTATTTTGGGTGGATGGTTGCATCGATTTGTTGAGAGGAAGAAACTTGATCAGCAGTCAATGTTTGTACTTCACATGTCGATATTATGCACGTGCTTAGCAACTTCTTGTTGTCTTTTCTTTTCTAAAATTTATATGATTTCATTCAGGAAAGGAAGTGGAAAACTCATTTCGTGAACCCAAGAAAATCTGTCACTCTTGGGTGATTTTTTCCCATTGATCTCACTGAATTTTATCAACTGATTCTTCTATTTCAAGATTTGAATTTGACGTAAGTTTATGGAACAATATTCTAATGCTTCGGAGGAGAATTTATAGGAGAATATCTGAAAAAAGTTTTAACATAAAGTCTTGAAATCTAAAATAATTAAATTATATAAAACTCAATAAATATAAATTGAATCCTTAGTAATTTTTTATAGTCTTTTTTTATTATTATTATTGTCTTCCATTAATTTTTTTACTATTTTGAACAAACAATGATAATATTAAAAAAAACATGATTAAAAAAATAATATATAGTTTTTTAATTTCTATTCATGTCACATACAATTAATAAGAATTATTTTAAATAAAGAAAAGTTCATTATAATATAATTTTATGTAGATTTTTTTAGTAATTATTATTTGTAGTAGTTGTATATAATTATCCTAACCATTACACTATAAGAAAAGTGACAATTAGCGATGCATTTTTCCGTTGTTAATTAGTCAATATACTGTCACAAAAGTCGTTTAGTGACGACATTGCAACGGAAATTATTTACGTCACTAAAACACTCGTTGCTAAACTTAGCGATGGTGAAAAACATTTCTTCACTATAATAGAGACGAAATTTTCGTCATAAAAATTAAAAATTTCATTACTAAATCGATCATCGCAAATCGTTGTATTAATTATCGCTATTCCATCGGCGAGAACCGTTGCTTGTTTAATGATTAAGCTAATTGATGATCGATATGCCGTCATTAATATCCGAAGCTAATGGCATCCATCGGCGTCATGTGCTATCGTTGAAGGTCAAAGAAATCCGTCCCAACTCCATCGCCATCGGTATGGAAATTCATTGACAATCCATCGCTATTCAGTCGCTAATTATATTTTCAAAAATTAATATTTTTTATATTTTATTTGCTTATTTTTAAATTAATAATATTCTATGTAGTAATTAAAAATTAGAAGAGATAACATATACTTTAAATATTATAAATTAAATATAAATTAATATTAATAAAAAAAACATTCAAGTAGTATGTATGAAAAAAAAAACAAAGTAAAAAAATGAATTATCACTCTCGATTGTCATCCCGATTATCTAATCCCCCATCCTCTTCCTAAGACTCGATGGGGACTCGATGGCGAGGCTGGGTGGGAGGCTCGGTGGGAGGAGTAATGGAGTCTCGATTGGTAGACGGATCTATAGGCAATCCGGATGTTTATGCCAACCTAATCAATATGAAGGCCATCATCTCATATCGAGAATTAAGCCTATGTAAGGTACTTATGCTTGCTCCGTGACAAGGTTTTGAAGGTCATGTTGTTTGACATGCATCCACTTTCATCGCCTCCTTCGTCTCCTCGTACTACCTCTAAACCCCCTTATTAAAAATATAATCGGTATAGTACGACGACATAGAGGAGGCTGCTGCCACCAGGCCGGGATAAATAATGCACCGCCTATTTTCCTACACCATATACCCTCTTCTTTTTCTCTCATACAACCTCGAGGTAAATGGTGTTCTTGTCAACCTTTAACTTTAAGATTTCTTTTCTCCTACTACATCGTAATAGCTTTCGGTATGAGCTCTTTAACATGCTCATGCATAATCAAAATAACGATATCATTAAAAGATTAAAATAAATTTTAAATTATATTTACATATATAAAATTTAAAATTCAAAAACATTTACCATTGTTTGCTTTGAGCGCGGATCGATGAAAGAATCATCTCGTTGCTTGTGAGTCATCTAAAATAGCTTAAAACTCGTTGGCTTATGGCTCTAATCATGCCTCCAGAAAAAAAATGAATCGCAAACAATATGAGATGAAAATTTAAATTTTCTAAAATATGTATTAATAATAAAAAGTGTGTAACTTATCAAGTGACGAGCATGCTCTTTCAAAGGGAAAGAGCCCCCTATATGCCTAGAAGGACCCACGCCGGGGCCATTGGTCTTCGATAATCGATTTCGTGATGCTTGTTCTAAATGAGCCTTATGATTAGGTTTTGCAAAATCTTGTTTCCATGTGTCCCTAACTTCCTGCATGATAAAAGTAGGTTGTTCGACTAGCAAACCACACTTGTAGACGAAGTCGACATAGCGATTTCTTGCCGAGCCTCCCATGCTTTTCCAACAAGCGCCTCGATGGTCGAATACCAATCAAAATATTTTTACATAAATAAAAAAATTAATATTAACAACTTCATTTTATGAAAAGTTTTTATTTTAATTATAAAGAAAATGAAAAATATGTTACTCAAAATTCACTAACGTATAATTGTTTAGTGAGGTTCAAGATAGACTTCCATATCGATCCATCGATGTCCAATCGCTCTTTGAAAGTCATGGTTATCTTCGCGGCATAATCTCTACTTGGTGGAGTGAAACTATCGAACATCAAAAGAAAAAAAAAAATAATAATAATAAATTATTGAAATAATATATTAAAATAAAAATAATAATTACATTGAATTTAACTAATTACATACTATCCTCGACTAACAAAAATATGCTACCTGCTTGGAGGAGCTGCGGGAACTATCTAGAATACCCAATACATCGGTGGATGGTGAAATCTTTGAGATCGATGCTAGAACCTCTAGTGTCGATGTGAGAATTTGTCCGAAGGGTGCATCTCGTATGGTCGAAGTCGTTGTCAATGTGTTACCTCTATGGTTACGGGAGCTACGAGACCCACGTCCCTTATAGTTAGAGATTCTCGATCGATGCTAGTGGGGGAATCCTAATGGGCTACCATCAAATGGTATACTCGTCCACGATTATCAAAACGTGATCCCATAGTGATTGTGAAAGGTCGGCCTAAACCACGAGTCATTACTAGATTATATAAGCTTAAAAAACTAAACAAAATATAATAAAAAATATTATCGGTATAAAGCAATAAAAAAACCTAAAATTGAACATTTCCTAATTACACGATAAATAACCTATTTTAAATACAATACAATTATAATACATAACTAACATTTTGAAGATGTATCAAAATTGATATTATTTACTACATGTAACAAATAAAGAAACAAAAAATACATCATTTGTTATTAATACAATAAATAAAATATATATTTAATTAGAACTATCATAATCATTGTTTAAGTTATTATCTCGGTCATTCAATGTATTTTCACACTCATTCTCATCGTCTTCATCAACCACAACTACTTCATATCTACAAACGATCCATTTAGATCATTCAATAAAATAATATCCTTGACTTTCTCTATCAATTCATGTCATTTTTTCTAAATCATTTTCCTGAAATGGTTCAATATTTTATTGGATGGTAGCGGTTGAATCAAGCAACTTAAACATAGACCTAACTTTGATCTTACAAACAACCCACCAATCTCGGTTCTCGTGCCTCGAAGCTAGGGTACTCGACATAATATAAGCGAGCCAACTATGATGCTAGGACAAATGGTTCGTAATTGTTCAAGTTTCTTTTATAGTTAACATCCATAAGTTTGTACTACGGATGAACCATTATTCATTGCAATGTAGGATCGAATCAATCACATTTGAATAATACTATTCTCTTGATTGGTAATGCAAGATACTCTAGTTCAAGAATTTTTATCGGTATCCCGTACTAGTCACTTTTAGTTATACTATAATTGGTTCCTTTAATGCAAACATCACCATTAAAAGACTACTATTTCGAAGATCCCTCGAGCATGCAAAACCTATAACTATTAACAAAATAATCCGCGTATGATCCGATAGTAAGTAATGGGCCTTGTGCAAGATCTTTCAAGAATTGGTCTTTTATGAAAATTGCTTGTGCATTTTATGTTTATAAATTCAACAATAAATCCCTTAAAAGTTTAGTTACCTTTTAATTAATGCTACCAACTTACTAAATACGAATAAAATGATAATACTCACATATTAATTAAACTAGGAGGCAAACTTAGTTTCAATTAGAGCATCAACCTCATTCTTAAATATAAAGGGATTGTTTAGTCGTATTTTGACAAGAAATCACCTAAAAAGGATTAACAACAAACATGAGTCATTATCTATTATGATTACTAATATTATTATATGCAATTAAATATGTATAATCTAAAAATTAAATTTTGACAAACTCACTCAATGTAACGTTTTGCTTCTTCATGGTTCAATAATATATATTGGTGGGTCTGTTTTATATTCGACTTATGTCAATTTTCATAGTATGTGTCAACCGGTTGGTCGACCTTATTGTTTAAATACGGATGACATCCTTTCAATGTGGTCACTTTCTTCTCCATTGCACTAAACATGACGTGACACTTTTCGATGCTTAATATACATATGAGGCTCAAAATAGTGCAACCAAAACAAAGAGGCTTTATTGACCAAATATGCATTGCATATTGATCCTTCCACAAATCCCTACAATATAAATTATTTTAATTTTTTATAGTTAAAAATTTATTTAATTTTACTTTTAAATTTAATATCAATACGTTTTAAATGGATACATCCATTGATGGTAGATGGATTAGAAGATGTTCCATGGAGTTAAAAAGGCTGGGTGGAATATATGCTCTAGTTTACATAAAATGATGGATATCTCATCATTAAGTCAATACATATCTTCTTCCCTTATCACCTTGTAGAAGTCAATTGCTTAAAGAATAAACTTAACTCTGTAAGTGCTTTCCAAACATTTCTTGACAAAAACTCTCAAAATGCAATTAGAATAACCTTTACATGAAGATGTGACAGTCATGGTTTTTCATCCTATAAAGTTTGTCATGCCACATATCAACACATCTAACCGGGTTAGACACATATCCATCGAGAAACCCGAGTTATTTGATCCATTCAAGCAATTTTGCTTTTTGTTGTTTAGATAGAGCAAAAGCATCTTTAGTATACCTCCTAAATGCATTTATCTTTTGCTAATTTTGACCTTTTATAAAAAAGTTTCAAGTCCGTTTTGGAGTTGGCATTATCTTTAGTCTTACCCAACACATTTATGATCATGTTAAAAACATTTTCAAATATATTTTTCTCAATATATATGACATCTAAATTGTGCCAAATGAGATTTGTACTCTAGTAAGGCAAATCCCAAAAAACACTTTGTTTCCTCCATTTACACATCTAAGAGATTCTACTTATTATGATCATCCGCACCATCTTCTATCACTTTCAATAACTCACATCTGTTCCATTAGATGTAACATCTCGGCTCAGATTAGATTGAAAGAGGGCCATATCTAACAACCTTTTTAGTGGTGAATGCTTTTTTGTTTCTTCTATATGGATGTTCATGAGAAAATTTTTTTTGATGATTGTCAAACCACGAGGTCTTCCTTCGAATAGGAAGGAAGAAAGCATCTTAATTTTTCATATAGTAAGGACAAGCTTGTTTTTTGCAATACTCTAACCGAGAAAATATCGAATATGTAAAAAAGTCAACGATGGTCCATATAACTATAGCTTTCAATAAAAAATTCTACTCATGATAGATATTGTAGTCACCACACCTACTTTCCATAACTGAATAAGCTCGGATATGAAAGGTCGTAACTAAAAGTCTAACTTATGTTTTGAATTTGTTGGACTTGAAACAATTAATGTTTGAAACATATATTCCTCCTTTATACATATTTAGGATGCTAAATTGTAAGAGGTCATAATT